CTGTCCAAAGAATAGCTGACAAAAGATTTTTCACATAAAGGTTGTTCCTTCATTCTCTCTCTTTTTTTTTATTTTTTATTTTTTATTTTTTTTTTTTTTTGTTCCAGGGATCAAATTCACAACCTTGTGCTTGCCAAGCAGGCACTTATGCCGCTGGGCTAAATCCCCAGCCCCCGTCCCTTTGTTCTTCTGGTTGTATCCTTTGCTGTGCAGAAGCTTTTCAATTTTTGATCCCATTTGTTGATTTGAAGTATTATTTGTTGTACCACTTGGATTCTATTCAGAAAATCTTTATTACACTTACATCTTCAAGAGCCATACCTGTTTCATCAGCTAACTTGATCCATTTTGATTTTAGGTTAAAACATAGTTAGACATATGGGTCTAAAATTCAGCGTTTGTATGCAGATATCCAATTTTACTAGCACCATTTATTAAAGAGGCTATTTTTTCTTTTTTTTTTTAATGTTTTTTTTTTAATCGGTACCTGAGATCGAACTCATGACCGCGTGCTTGCAAGGCAGGCACTTACGCCACTGAGCTAAATCCCCAGCTCCTATTTTTTCTTTAGTATGCATTTTGGGCCTTTTTGTCAAACACTAAATAGTATGTATCTGGCATTGTTTTGGCTTCCTCTATTCTGTTCCATTGTTTTACATTAGGGGGTTTTTTTGCTGTGTTTTGTTTTGTTTTTGGTACCAGGGATCAAACTCATGGCCTAGGACTTACTAGATAGGCACTTATGCTGCTGAGCCAAATCCCCAGCCCTGCTCCATTGTCTTACATGCCTGTTTTTATACCAATACCATACTGTTTCAATCACGTAGCTTTGTAGTATAAGTTCACGTCTGGGATTGTGATGCCAACTGCTTTCTTTTCTTACCCAGAATTGCTTTTATTATTTTGGCTATCCTCTGGTTTGCTGTGAATTTTAGAATCCTTTTCTATAGATCTATGAGAAATATTGTTGTTATTTTTATTGGGATTGCATTAAATCTCTGTGTCAGTTTTGGAAGTATAGCTGTTTTGATTATTTTGGTTCTGCCTATCCAGGAATAGTGGATAGATTTCCATTTCCTGATGCTGTCCTCAGTATTCTATTTCAGAGTGGTATGATTTTCATTGTAAAGGTCTTTCCCTTCTTTGGTTAGGTTAGTTCCCAAGTAATTTTTTATGCTATAGTGAATGGTATTATTTTACTACTTTGTTTCTCGGTGAGTTCAGTATTAATGTATAAAAAGGCTATTGATTTGTGTATTGATACATTGCTGAATTTGGTTAATGTTAGGAGTGTTTCAATGGAGTTTTTTGATACAGGCACAAGATCATGACACTGAAAATAGTGATACTTTTGTTTTTGACCTTCCTATACATGCCCCTTTCATTTCTTTACCTGATTGCTCTAGCTAATGTGATAGTGGACACCCTTGTCTTGCTGATTTTAGAAGGGAAGCTTTTCAGTTTATCCCCTCTTCATATGATATTGGAAATAGTTTGGTCATAAATGACTTATCAGCTTGAGAATTTGTACTTTTTAACAGGGTTTTTTTTTTTTTTCATTTTTATCGGTACCGGGGATCGAACTCACAACTGCCTGCTTTCAAGGCAGGCGCTTATGCCGCTGAGCTAAATCCTCAGCCCCCAGGGATTTTTTTTTATCATGAATGGATGTTGGATTTTGTCAAAGGCTTTTGCGGTATCTGTTGAGATGATCATGTGATTTTTGTCTTGCTTCTGTTTACATGATGAATTATGTTTATCGATTTGGATATGTTGAACAAAACTTGCATTCCTGGGATGAAGCTTACTTGGTCATAGTACGTAATCTTTTTGATGATCTGTTTCATTCCATTTGCCAATATCTTGTTAAGGATTTTTGCCTCTATGCGTCCATTATAGAGGTTGGTCTGTAATTCTCTTTTTCAGTCTGGTTTTTGGAATCGAGATAATGCTAACTTTCAGGTATGCCTTTGGGAGTACACCTGCCCTCCTAATGTGATTAAAAAGTTTCAGAATTATTGGTGTTAGATATTCCTTGAGGTTTTTGTAGAATTCAGCTCAGACTCCATCAGATCCTAGACTGTCATTAGTTGTTAGTTTATTTTTTTAATTACAGCTGCAATTTCTTTACCTATTATTGATTTTTCAAGATTTTAAAGTCTTCTTGATTCACTTTGCATAATTTATATGGATTTATAAGTTTATCCTGAGTTTTCCTTTTTATTATTTGTTTATTAATTATTTTTAATTTTCTTGTTATATAGCTCAGGCTGATCTTGAACTGATGTGTAGCACAGGCTGCCCTCAAACTCAAAGCAATCCTTCTCTGTAAATGTCTCAATACTGAGATTACAGGAATGTGCCACCACACTGAGCTGAGTTTTCCAATTGTTTTGACGTATGTTTGTGAAGTAGTCACTAATAATTTTCTGGATTTTGGTAGTGTTCATTGTGACTTCATCTTTTGCATTTCTAGTTGCATCACTTTGTATCTTTTCTTTCTTTTTTTTCTAGTAAGACTGGCTAAGAATTTGCCTGGTTTTTGTTTTTTTTTATAATGGGGAATCGAACTCACGACCTCTCACTTAACAAGCAGGCACTTATGCCGCTGAGCTAAATCCCAGGCCTGTTTATTCTTTCAAAGAACCAGCTCTTAGACTCATTGATTTTTTATATTGTTTTGATTTTTTTAAAGTCTCCATTTCATTGATTTCTTCTGTGATCTTTATAATTTCCTTCCTTGTACAAGCTCTGAATTTGGATTGTTCTTATTCTTCTAGGACCTTGAGATGTACCATTAAATTAATTATTTGGCTTTTTTTTTTTTAATGTGGGCATTCACAGCTAGAGTATGACTATTTTCATCGTGTCCTCTACATTCCAGTATGTTATACTGGCATTATCATTTAATTCTAGGAACTGTCTTAGTTCTTCCTTAATTCTCTCTGTGACCTATTACTCAAGAGTATATTGTTTAATTTCCATATATTTGCATAGTTTCCCTGGTTTCTTTTGCTATTGATTTCTAGTTTCATCATAGCATAACTTGGTAAAGTTTTGATTATTTTGCATTTACTTAGACATCCCTTATTAGCTAGTATGTGGTCTATTATGAAGAAAGTACCATATGCTGCCAAAAAGAGAATGTGTATTCTGTTGCTGTGGGGTATTCTGTGTATGTCTATTAAGTCCATTTGTTCAAAGGTTTGGTTCAATTCTGATGCAGTATTTCTGTGTTGACGTTTTGTTTAGTTGATCCTACTATTTGTGATAGCATGGTGTTGAGGTCCCTACTTATAATTGTACTGATGTCTGTCTCATCTCTTATGTTCATTACTGTCTGTGTCATGAAGTTGAGAACACCATGATTTGGGACATACATGTTTATAATTGTCATCTCTTCCTACCTATTATTCTGTTAACCAGTATGTACTGCCTAGCTTTGCTTCTTTGATAGGCTTTGGCTTTGAAGTTCACTTTGCCTGAAAATAGGATAGCTATTCCTACTTGTTCTGGGGTTCTTGTTAAACAGAATATTGTTTTCCATTCTTTGATTTTTTTTTTTTTTTTTTTTTTTTTTTTTTGTCTTTTTCCTTTTTATTGGTACTGGGGATCGAACTCATGACTGCCCCCTTGCAAGGCAGGCGCTTATGCCGCTGAGCTAAATCCCCATCCCCAATTCTTTGATTTTTAATCTATGAATTTCTTTTTGTATTCTGTTTCTTATATAACATTCCATTGGATTTGGTTTCTTGATCCATTCTACTAATCTGTGAGGGTTGTTTTTGTTTTTGTTTTTGAGACAGGGTCTTGCTATGTAGTTCAGGCTGAACTTGAACTCACTGTGTAGCCCCGGCTGGCTTGGAACTCACAGCAGTCCTCCTGCCTCAGCCTCCCAGAATGCTGGAATTACAAGTGTGAGCCACCACTCTCAGCTGATCTATGCTTTTTGATTGGTGAATTGAGTCTGCTTACATTGATAGTTATAACTGATAGACATTGACTATTCCTGTCGTATCATCTTCCTGTTGTTGTTTTGCTTTCTTTCCCTCCTACTTACTTGCTAGTCCTACCTGATACATTTATTCTATTGGACTTCCAGCACTGTTAGCTTTGTTGTCTTTCTAGGATACCCCTGGGAATTTTTTAGAACATTGCTTTGGTGGTAGTGAATTTCTTTGTCACTTTGTCTGGATTAGATTGCTATAATTTTCCATTAACCTTAATGACAGGGTACAGTAGGACTAAAAGGCGCCCTAAGGAACCTCCTGCACTCCACATATATTCTTCCTTTCCTTCATTGTGGAGCAGTAATCTAACTTCCCCTTGATAGTCTGGGTCAATCCCCCCTGACAACACTGTGACTCCCTTTTTAGCTTGTTTCCTCAGAGGCGTGAAGAGACCAAAATGACCAGCTTCCAGTTCAATGGAACCATTGTCATGCTTCCTGGTATAAGCCTCCCCCCTCTGGAACCAAAACTTCTAGGCCAGCTGAACATGAATTCCTCTTATCTGTTTCTGGAGATGGGATGTTTCCTTCATTAGTTTGTCCAAAGAGGCTAAGACCAACCATCCAGCATCATTATATTGTCTACTCTGCCAAAGATATTCAAAATTGTTTCGTACAGAGTCACTAAATTTCTGACATCTCACAACTGGTGAATTAGGATAATCAAATGGGTTTATGAGACATATTAGCTTAAACAGTTCACGCCAAGGATTATCAGTATATTCCACAGAAGTACGAGTGGAGACCTTGGTGTCTTCAGGTCTCACCAAATTGCAGAGCCAACTCCAGGGAACTCTAATGTCATTAAAGAATGCCATTATTATAATTCTGTTTCTCTAGGCCCACTCTCGGTACCAAAATCTGTATTAATCAGGGTTTTACTAGAGAGAACAGATATAACACGAGATATACTGATGTAAAACAAACAAGATTAGTTTATGATAGTCAGCCACAGAGTCGGATGAGGAAGTGTGCAGAGGGTGTCTATGCACTGGAGGCCAAACGAGTCGATCCAAGGTCTGGAGCTCACCCTAGTATCTTGTGCAAGTCCACACCAGCAGGCTGATGGGTCATCGACAGAAGGCTGAAGGCTCTGTGATGAAAGGCTGAAGAGTCTATGCCGGAAAGCTGAGGAGCCTACACTGCAAGCCAGGAGATGACCTCCAAACCAAAAGTGAAGACTGAAGCTTCTCCCAAGAATAGAATGCATTGGTATTTCCTCCTTCCCTTTTATACCTCCAGGTAAGGAGCCACCATATGCTCTTCTTGTCTCCAAGCCTCTGCACTGGCTGGCTCAAGGGAAGACGTGGTTTGGCTTCTTGATTCTCTTCCCATTCCCAATAGTCTGCCCCTGGCTCATGGGAAGGCATGGATTAGATTCTTCTGGCCCATTGCTTTTCTGTAGCAGCCTGTAAGATTCTGTTTTTGTTTTTGTTTTTGTTTTTGTTTTTGAGACAGGGTCTCTCTATGCAGCTCAGGCTGCATCGCAACGATCCTCCCGCCTCAGCCTCATGTGAGTGCTGGGATTACAGCGTGAGCCACCACGCTTGGCTTCCATGCTCTTCTTTTTTTTTTCCCCCTGCTCTTCTTGACTTCACTGTTTGTGTTGAGAATTCTGCTGTGATTCTGGTGGGCTTTCCTTTATCGGTGATCTGTTTCTTTTCTCTAACAGTTTTTAATATTCTGTTCTTATGTTGAATGTCTAGGATGTTGATTATCATCTATCTGGGTGTAGATTTATTTTGGTTATAGCTAATTGGAGTTCAATATGCTTCACTGGTCTGTATGTCATTTATATCATTTGCGTTGTCACCTTTGTCATTTACACCTATCAATCTTATAATATTTTTCTTTGCATCATTTTGCAACTGTTGAATGGTTTCCTGATTCCTTGTTATTTTTAAGAGATCTTTCCTGTTCACTAGCTGCAATCTTGTCTTCAAGGTCTGAAAGTCTATCTTTTTTTTTTTTTTTTTTTTTTTTTTTGTCTTTTTTGTTTTTATCGGTACCGGGGATCGAATTCACGACTGCCTGCTTGCAAGGCAGGTGCTTATGTCGCTGAGCTAAATCCCCAGCCCCAAGGTCTGAAAGTCTATCTTCACATTCATTGTGGCAGTTTTGCCAGCTTTTGATGGAATTTTTGATTTCCTGGATATCTCTTTGGATCTATTTCATGCATTCTATTTCTTTCTTATAGTGTTCATTCAAGATTTACATCTTAGGGGCTGGGGATTTAGCTCAGCAGCATAAGCACCTGCCTTGCAAACAGGCAGTCATGAGTTCGATCCTCAGTACCAATAAAAAGGAAAAAGACAAAAAAAAAAAAAAAAGAAAAAAACAAGATTTCTATCTTTTTGCAGTGTTCCTCAATTTTTTTTAAATGTGTCCTTAGATGTGTTCCGCATTTCTGTTAGTATGTTTCTCATTTCTTCTTTTACCTGGGAGATTATTTCTGATCTGAGTTGCTGTACAGCTTCATAGAATCGTTTCTTTTCTTCAGCTGCTATCATTTCAGAAGTTTCACGTGTGTAGCTTACACTTTCTTCTATGTCCATGTCTCCTCAGCTTGTCTGGACTGGAGGTCTGAGATTGCATTTTGCTCTTTCGTTTTGTCATTTTCCTGTATTCCCCTAGGGAAGCTGAATGCAAGGTCTCAGTTGCATCCTGGATTGAGGGTGTCTGTCTGTACTGCAGGGGGTTTCCCCAGTTTACTGGGGGTCATTTGGCAGGTCTTACCAGGTCCCTAGTGGCACTGGAAGGCTCCTCAAATTGGGGAAGTACGCTGAGAGGACCTTCTGCACACCCCATGTGGCTCTCTGAAGCTCTCGGCTGCTTGAGGTTGCGGGGTGGGACTCTACCAGGTTCTGACTAGTGTACCATGGCTGAGCAGCTGGATGGAGTGTTCTGTGCGGGCCTTAAGCTCACACCACTCAGCACAGGAGGTTTCCCTGCCACTCAGGGTTGCTGGATGGGGTCCCACCAGGTTCCGAGCTCAATCATATTTTTGAACTCTGGCTTTCTGTTTGGAATTTTTTTATGGATTCCCATTCTTTTCTATGCCACACATTCATGTTTTGCATCTCTCCCTTTACCTCCACTTGATTTTTATTAGTATCTTTTTAAAATTTGCTGATCATATGTTTCTGATTAGTTATATCTTCTTTAAATTTGTCGAGCACCTTGTTGAAGTTTTTACCTGACAGATACCCTTTCAGAAATTTCTGTTGTGTGGCTTATGATTTCCTTTTCAATAACACCTCCTGCACTGGTTTGGGGAGCATTTTGTTGCCTTGTCTTTCAATGTTTCTGTTTTCATTTGTTTTGTTTTTATGCTGGGTTTTGTGGCTTCTTTGGATCCAGTGCCAGGTTCTTTGGGAATGGGCCACAATACTGTTTATGAACCCCAGGCAATCCAGATAAATGGCACACGGGACAAACCTGTTGAGGACAGCAACTATGTCACCTTGGCTATAGTCATTAAGTCAGCAAACCAAGTAGTGTCAGATGTCAACCTGAGAGGGACAGATTCTAAGAACCACTCATGAACTGCCCTAACCAAAGCAAAGAGGTCTGTGATTTTACTGAAGACACTTACGTCAGCCAGATATTGACCTATAGCAATTCAGACCATTAATTTATGCTGGATGAAGGCAGCTGTCCAAGAGAGCTCAAGCAGACCAATGATGTGTTTCTTCACCTAATGTTTTATAACAACTTTTTGTGATTAAAAAAAAAAAATAAGGGGCTGGGGATTTAGCTCAGCAGCATAAGCGCCTGCCTTGCAAGTAGGCAGTTGTGAGTTCGATCCCGGTACTGATAAAAAGACAAAATAAATAAATAAATAAATAAATAAAATAAAGCCCAAGGATCAAGAATCGTTGCCCATTTAAAAAAATTAAAAAAAATAAGCTGGATATCTTTATTTCATACACTTTTCTATAAATGTAGCATTTCACAATTTTTTAAAACTTAAAAAAAAAGATGGTATAGTGTTTTATTGAATAGTTGCAGATTCATGTTTAAATTTTTTCTCCTTTTATAAAATGCATATAAAAATGTCATCACTGATCTCTTTCTTTCAAATAGGTTATTTTCATTTTGGTGCCTGAATAGTACTCTGTGGAGGATGCTGATTCTGACCTGCTGGTTCCTGGCCAGATTGTCGTTCGAGAAATTGGACAAGAGGAATAGACCACAGCAAGAGCTGGTGTGAGCAGGTAAGTCATCTAAGTGTGGCCGGAGAGAAGCGGTAACTTAGTGATGTGACCATCAGCAGCCACGAATGTTTTCCTGACAGTGCCAGTACCAGCAGGAGGAGAGAGGCAGTGCTTTGCAAAGTCACTACAATTGGCAGGGTCTGGGGCAGGGGAAAATGGGGAAGCACTGTTTAGTAGACCATTTTATTTAGGGGTTACAAAAGCATTTTAGAACAAGATAGAGATGTGGTACAACAACATTCTCAAACGACCAGACTGAACAATTTTTTTTTTTTTATATCCCTGTGCTTGCCAGGCAGATGCTTATGCTATTGAACTACTCCCAGCCTCGGCCTGAACATTTTAAAATGAATAACTTTATGTTATGTGAATTTCACCTCAATTTACATATAAAAATGTTTAACTCAATGGGTATATTTATAAACAAAAGAACCTCTGTATTATTTTCCTTGCTAATGAAGGCAGAAACCTTTCCAAAAGAAAACAAGTAGAATTTTAAACAATTTCTGGTGTTTCCAAGCATATCTACTGGTTATTTCTTGCTTTTCAGTTGTTGCTTATATCCACCACCTTTCAATCTTCTCTGCTGATCAGATGCAGTGTGTTTGTATAAATGCATGTAGGTCTACAGTATATGAGTATGTATACATTTTCAGTGTGTGTGCATGCGTGCATGTTCGCTGTGTGTGCACATACACTTTCACACATGCACACAGGCACCTCTGGCCCTCTGCAGACTCTCTAATATCCTTCAGCTACATTGCTGAGTCTGCATAGCTGCAGGCAGTCCTCAAACTGTTCCTGACAGGAAGCCATGCTTCCTGGGGTCTTGAATCAGCAAAGCAGGAAGGAAATAAAGGCCACAGAGCTATTGAAGTAGAAGAAGCCAAATCTAAGGCAAAATCCACATAGGATCTCTACGTGTAGTACTTTCAGGCCCAGAATCTGTGAACAGAAACGCAAATTTCATCATGCTGCTTCCTCTGACCTGAGCCACCCGAGGCCAGTTCCTTGGGCTCCCCCTGCTGCAGTCCCCCCTGCTGCACTCACATCCCACACGCGAGAAGGGAATACTAAAACTGCCTTCCCATTGGTTGTGTGATTGTAAGTATCTTAGACCAGGCTTGGATAGAGCAAGTCTGTACATAGCAGTACTTCAAAGATTTTTGTTTTTAAAAAGAATTCACCAGGCCTGATGGTGCACTCCTATAATCTCAGCACTTGGGAGGCTGAGACAGGCAGATCCTTGCAAGTTCAAGCCCAGCCTGGGCTACAAAGTGAGTCCAAGACTAACCTGAACCGCATAGTGAGACCTTGTCTCAAAAAAGAAAAAGAGAGAGAGAGAGAGAATTAAAGCCAGTGGCAGTGGCTCATGCCTGTAATCCCAGCACTCCGGTGGCTGAGGCTGGAGGATCATCGTAAGTTTGAGACCAGCCTGGGCTACAAAGTAAGATCAAGGCCAGCCTGAACTGCAAAGTGAGACCCTGTCTCAAAAAGACAAAAAAAAAAAAAAAGAAAAAAAAAAAGAAAAAAGAAAGAAAAAGGCCAGGGGTATAGCTTCAGCAGCAAGCACAAGGTCATGAGTTTGATCTCAGGGATGCCCCCAAAGGGCCAATTAATTAATTAAAAATAAAAAGAGAATTCAGCTAGGCTTGGTGACTCATGCCTGTAGTCCCACATACTTGAGCCTGAGGCAGAAAGATCACAAGTTTGAGGCCATCCTGCACAATTTAGTAAGACCTTGCCTTAAGATAAAATAAAAAAGGACTGAAGATATAGTTCAGTGGTAGAACTCTTGTCTAGTATTATATAAGACCCTGAGTTCAAACCCTGATACCGTGGGAAAAAATTAAATTTAAAAAATTAGATTAAAATTTAAATTTTAAAATACCCATTTGTTTTCTTCCTTTTACCTTCCAGATTCTAACAATCACTCATATCAAACAAGATAATAATTCAGAAATATATTGGTAGCCAATTTTGGAATATGTGTAAATAAAACCAAACTTTTTCCTACAAAAAAAAAATCAGCATTAAAATAGGATAATGTGTCTGAGGAAATATTCACCCTACATCCTATTGCAACTAGAATTAGGATTTAGGATTGGCAGTGGTTTGGATGTGGTCTGAGGGTGCCCCCCACCTTGGGTTGAAATTTAATCCCTACTGTTAGGTATTAAGAGTGTGAAGGCTTCATCTAGCTATGGTGATTAGAGGTGGGGCTTTGAAGAGTGATTAGCATTAGTGAAGGTCATCAGGGTCAATGCCCCATGACTGAGCCCAAGTGGTTTTATGAAAAGAGAGAGACCAGAAGGCGGCCTGTGCTCCCTGTCTCCCGTCACGTGATGCCCTGCAGTGCCTTGAGACCCCGCCAGCAAGAAAGCCATCAGCAGATGCCTCAAACTTCCAGAACTGCAGCCAAAAGAGCCTCTTTCCTGTTACCCTGTCTGATTTCACCATTGTCCTGACATAAAACGGGCACAGGCAGGGCCCTGAGTCCAGCTCCCGTGGTTCTTGGTAGTGGAAGTTCAGAGTATGGCTCTTCATTCAGCAAAGACATAGAGAAGCACACAGACCTGTGATGAATCCTCCCATGTAAACCTCTTCTCTAAAAAATGCTGAGATCGCTGCAAAAACACAAGACTCAGAGAGGGTGACTTAGGCTTTCGTCCCCGTGAGACCTTGGGCTAATTACTTAACTTTTTACCCTTTTTATCCATCAAATTGGGAGGTTGATCTAGTCTTTTAAACTTCCTTCAACTCAATGAGCAAGGATTCTACTCTTTAATATGAGAGAGGAAAAATAGAGAGCAAGAGAGATACGAAGAAGGTTCAGCTAGAAAAATGAAAAGAGACCCCCTAAGTTTGTTTTTAACTTTACAAGTCAAATTCTACTTTGAGGAAAGAAAATAACCTGTTGGTATTTTCTGTTCTGTTTAGTTTAATTTTGGTCTCAAGCAGGTAACTTTTCAGTAAAACGCTCCAAAAAAGCTTTTCACCCTTTCTACCCACAGTCTGGTTGCAGACCGCAGAGCACACCCTGAAAGTGGAATATTTTTACATAAAATCACTGAAAAAAGAAAAGAGCATTTCCAGATCAAGTGATGAGAATTCCTTGGTGCTGTGGCTAGTGCTACAGGGTTAATCCAGTCTGAAAAAAGTGACAAAGTGCAGAGCTTTTTTTCTTTAAACAGATTCCACACCCAAAACCAAGTACTTGGCAAGCTGCCCTCTCGTATGTTACGAAATAAAAATATGTGGCCTTTAGTGTGATCTTAACAGCCAGAGCATTTTGGTTGATTGCAGTGCCTGGGACTAGACACACGGACACCAGGGCATTCTCTTAGTGTGTTCCCTGCGTTGGTTCAAATCTTGTTTTCCTCCATCCTCACCCTAAAGGACAGTGTGGGGACTTAGAGGAATGATCTCCTGGGAGTGACCAGGGCCCCATAACCACAACACACTGTCTCAACCCAAACTATTCAAAAGGATTCAGATCAAGATTTACAAAATCTTTTGCAACACTTGCAAAAACCCACTGGTTTTAGATTTTGAAATTGCTGGCACAGGGAAATGTCTACAATCATGAAATTCTCATGAGTGGGGTGGAGCAGATTTCTGTAAACAAAGTAAGCTCCAATTTCTCCAGCTTCTTGTAGAAATGTTTCTACCCTAAGAAAGAGGTCCCCTCTAACTCTGGGATGCTAACAGTAACTTTATTACTTTTACTATAAGTGAAGTACTTTGTGAGCAAACTTTGGAACCTTCAAATACATATTTTACCCCAATTTTTTTTTTTTTGCCTCAAAGCAAAAGGTACCTTGAGCAAAAGGTAAATATCCAAAAGTCTCCTCACAAGAAAGAGGCCAGGTATTTATTTATTTTATTTTATTTTATTTTATTTTTTTGTCTTTTTGAGACAGGGTCTCGCTGTGCAGTTCAGGCTGGCCTTGAGCTCACTTTGGAGCCCAGGCTGATCTTGAACTCGAAACGATCCTCCTGCCTCAGCCTCCCGAGTGCTGGGATTAACAGGCATGAGCCACCACACCCGGCAAGAGGCCAGGTATTTATTAGATACAGGCAGTTTTCTTAAAAAAGGGACCTGAAGAATCAATATTTTTTAATGGTGCAACCATTATGGAAATCAGTGTAGAGATTCCTCAAAAACCTGAAACTAGAGGTTCCATTTGACACAGCTATTTCCTTTCTTGGTAGCTTCCCAAAAAATTGAAAGCATCATACCACAGTGATATATGCACACCCATGTTTATAGCCACACAGTTTACAAGAGCTAAATCTTAGAAACAACCCATATGCCCATCAACAGATGAATGGATAAAGACGTTGGGCTTTTTTTATGCAATGGACTATATTCTGCCATACAGAAGGATAAGGTTGAGACATTTCTAGCTAAATGGATGCGCCATGCGACCCTACTCTAATATGAAATAAATTGGACACACATGTTTAAATGCCACATTGTTTCTCTCGTGTGAGAAACTGAAAGTGTAAATAAGGACCAAAATGTGTAACAGATACTGAGAAATGGTAAGCAAATGTTCAGCGGAGAAGGGGAACAAAGGAAAGAGGAGGGAAGGGGAAGAAGGGACAAGAGCAAAGATAGAAGGGACAATGGGAACAAAGCTGTAAATAAGCAGGCCAGAGGGGTGGAGAGGGGAGAGGAATGGGGGAAGAAGAAGCAAGATGGATCCTGTAGGTACAGGCACAAAGCTCCTATGCTGACTGTGCTCATCAGGCATATCTAAAGTCTACCCATCGAAGAAAGAAGTTTATTGACTTGAACACCTTATGACCAAATTTCACAATAGTCACCCAACCCCAAATCTATTACTCTTTATGCTTCCTGTGGTCTCAATCCTGCCACTTTAGTCGGTCGCAAGATGAGCGCTTTGTCTTGCACAGGAAGGAGTTTGTAGCACAGCTCAACAGCCCTGCTCTTCTTCCCTGATTTTCTGATAGAATGTGGCCGCCCAGACACC